TAATAGAGCTTGTCCAGCTTAACTACTGAATGTCATAATAGAACAGGACAAGATCCCCGAGACAGACCAGCACGTCTGACTCACTGTATGCAGACCCGGTGCACCAAGCTGTTCCCTGCAGGAGCCAGTTTCTTAAGCCGACAGGGTCATTCACAAGCAACGCCGCACAAACGGGCCTATGAGTCACTCAAGGCACTCACGGAGCAACAGAAACAACAGAAACCGTGCCGAGAACTGGAACCCGCAGGTCCGCTGGGGATACCAGTAAAGAAACCATGGAGGATTAGAAACAAACAGCAAAAAATCGAGATTGTGCAACAGCTTTGGCTTCTCATGACCAGCTCCAGCTTGTAAGCCATGGTAGCTCAGAAGCAAATGGATGAAAGCAGTTTCACAAGTTTTACAAAGCAAAGAGGTAGTTGGCTTGTTAACCAAGACTTGTTAATTGAAGGTTGAGATCTCTGGCCACTCTTTCTTACTTCACACAAGAACACAAGGATTGTCACAAAAGGAGAGAAAGCAATTCTTTTCATCCTACTTTTCTGGATCGAAATATTCTGGAATCATCCAGCCATGTCGTAAAAGATCACAAGGTGTCAATTTTAGCAGCAAAGCTGGGTATTTTGTTCCAGACCTGCATACAGTAAATCTTTGTGTTAAAATGTAGTGCTAGGAAATACATTGAAATCCAAATGAAAAGATGAATGGAATCAATTTAACCCCCACTTTGCTGGAAAGCATAGGACCAGAAAGACATGTATCAGAGAATATGGGGTAATTCTGGGGGAAAATGGAAATCTGATGTATACTGATGTACGTTTGTTTTACAATATTAATAAAAGAGGTTAATATTTGCTTACACAAATTTGTCAATTGTCAGTTATAGTTTTTTTTTCTATTATGGTATTGTAGTGACAAAGCAGCAAAGATTCTTTTTACTTTCTCATATCATGTACGTATTGCAGCTGGTGTGAACTGTGATGTTGCAGAGAAAGGCAACACACCACATCTGGCCATGTCTGAATAGGCAGCAAGTCATGCGTGTCCTATTCTACAAGCTCTGGAGCAGCTGCATGGAGTTCCCAAGAAAAAGGTTGATTATACCGATGTCTTAATCGTGAAAGAGTTAGCATCACAACAACGTGCCACACAAGCTTCTAAAGGGTTTAGATATCTGGCTATAGATACAGATCTGGTTTTAGAGAAAGCTTTGGCTATAAAAAACATTAAGCAGGAAAGTGTCAAAAAATTGTGATACACTTCCTTAGGTTGCTATAGGGAGTGAAGCGAGAAACTATGAAATCATTTTTTCCATAGTTAACACGCTGACAAACTTTATTTCAACTGCTGAAAGACTGACATCTGTTCTATGCTGTTTTGAAAATGTCACATTTTATGCTTTTTGATCAGGAATTCCTCCTCTGAAGGTCCTGTCTGTGGAAAGCACTCCCTCACGAAGAAGAACTGTAATGCAGTGCCTCCCTCATATTCAAGTTTCTGCAACTCATGCACATCAAATGTATGGAATTTAGATTAGAAGACGCCTTGCCTTTTCCACTAGCGTGTCAAAAGATCACAGACCAAACAGGCAGCTCTCTTGAACTAGGACTGGGCATGCTATCCATAGCGTGGCTTAACTGATCAGGATGATTTTTTAGAAGAAAAAAAAAAGTGCAGGTCGATTTCTTCCTCATAAAGGAAATATGGCATTCCTTTTTCTATCCGCTATCAAACGTCCCTTTGATCTCCTTGATGAAGGGACTACAGAGATCCAACTTGGCTGATCGCTACTTGATTGCGCGGGGCTCAAGGGCGACAGTAGATCCGTGGGACTGGAAGTCATTCGAGTGTGGATATGAAAAGTGCAAACGTGTGGGTGCCACTTGTGTCACTCTGGGAGACGGGCGGCTCGCGATTACTCCGCTGAGTGGCTGCCCACTGCAGAAAGTGAAACAGCGAGTGATAAGTGCTTGTGCTGCGCAACCTTGTGTCTCCTTTCCTTCCTTTCTTCCTATCAAGTTAACTGGTCTGACACTTCCAGATATGACTCATGCTGTCACGTGGCCAGGACATTGAAGTGCACCATGTAGCAACATTAAGGACATGCAAAAGCCTTAGATGGTTATCTCATCCCCATTTCACAATTATCCTCTAGCCTGACCCTCTGGCCTGACCGTGCCTAAGCATTAGATCTGTGATTCTCGTAAAACTGAACATCCCTTCATGGTGTTCACATTGCTTTCAGCATTTTTTTTTTCCGTCATTATCTCTGAGCAGATCGAACTCAACAGATATGTATAAAATACACATCCAAGCAAGTGTGCAGCACCACACCACCGCAGAGATAACCAAAAATGTCTGAACGCCTCAGATCAAATTTTAAAGCGCGGTGCCAGACATCTTAGTTTAATTTATTGTTCAGCAACCCAAGGGAACGAGATTCCCTTTTACGTGGCAGTTTTGAAAACTGTAGGCAAATTCAAATCACATGAATTAAGAAGTACAGCTCAATAATTTAATATGTACCCTCTACTGTATATCACCTGCCTTTTTCTGCTAACGTATGTAGTATAACAATATCCAGCATCTGCTGTTAGACTATCTACTAGATTGTGGCTTATAAAACAAGACAATAACTAAACCTCTGTGCAAGTTTGCACCCCCAGATTCAGTGTCAACCTCGTTTACTGGATATAAGCTTTGCTAGTGAACTGTATTCTCTGAGAGAAATCCCCATAAGGAGTTGGTACACGGATTACTGTACATCCCTCAAGAGCTATGTGGCACTCTAAAGCAATGGCTTCTGAATGAATGAGAAATGACACAACATAGATGAATCTGTCACCCCCTTATGTCTTCTCTATTATCACACTTTAGTGTTAGACTTCTTCATTTTTTTGGCCACATTTTTATTTGGCAGTGTATTACAGTAACTTTTTTTTTAATGTATATCTTGGTTTTACATTGTGTCAATCCAATAAAGAGCAGACGACATGCTATCAACTATCAACTCATTTCAAGATAAAAAATTAAAGAGACAATGATAATGCCTGGATCCAGACTGGACTGAAAGGGCAAAGGAAAGTGAAACTTCACTCATATCAGATGTATGCAAATCCTGCCGTAAACTGTGTGTCCTGGCCTTTTCTAACCCTTTGCTTAACTGGAAATGCTGAATATTCCTCTTTGAGCAGTTACAGATGTGTAGGCACAGGAGCAGGAAAGAGAGAAAACTTGCTGGTCACACATCCCGCCTCAAGGCAATTTATACAGCAGGTGATGTCAGACATGCCAGATCTTTATTTTGCTTGCGATATTCACCCCCAGCACAGTCATTTTTTTTTTCATTTAATTCTAGCCACACCAAAAAAAATAGCTTATCACCTGTTGATTTTGGTGCAAGCCATCAATATACAGCATGTGTGAAAACAAACCCGCTGAAACTGCTTGTTTCTCTTATGCTGGCCTATACTCACAATCGTTCTGCCTTTTGAAATGGTGTCTTTGAATCGTCTGCAGTTTGCTGCTTTTTCTTTTCTCTTGTCCAATACCACAGCTTGTGGCACCATGTGCTGTGGATTTCTACATCTGGCTAAGCTCAGGTCCCATGCCAACGAATCTCAGGCACACGAAGCACCTTGTCAACCTCTGTTCACTGAAGTACTCTACCAGGGATGGCCTTTGATATAGAGAACGCAAATCACCACTCCACCCTTTTGTGTAAGAAAAGTCAGCTTAGAGGTAAACCACTGGATTAGTCATCTAATGAGATCAAGAGAAATCAGCTAGTTGGTTGTGGAAACTGCCAAGCGACACAGCAGAGCATAGCAGGATCAAAAATCGAAAAGAGCTCAAATCTATCATTTGAACTCAAAACAGATCTTTTGTGAAAGGAAGACGCTGCAGAAAAAGTAGATTTTGATAAGATTTGCATTAAACACTGCTTCCTCTTTCCCTGCTTTGTTCACTTTGCCAGATCAAAGACAAGTGCAATGCAGTACATTCAGAGCTCAAATGGAGAATATGTATCACAGTAAAGTAAAGGAACATTGGAACCTTGACTTTTTACAGTGTTTTTCACATCTAAATTGTGTTATCTGCAGATGTTGCACATGACGAGACAGTTAGTATTGCGACAAATTACTATTCCCTGCTTCAACAACCTGAGAAGCAATAACATTGCATTGCCATGAAATGATTGCACATGTCTGCTGTCAATAACTGTGGGAAGGATCAAATTAAACCCGTCTATTTTCAGTAACTGTGTAGTTCAATACAGTATGTAGGAGAGTTGGATCCCCTCCTGGCAGACAATGGGCACAAGTAAGAGTGCATACACCCCTACATGAACTCACACAAACAGTATAGGGACAATTTTAGAGATGCCAGAGAGCCTAGGCAGTGTGTGTTTAGACTGTGGGAGGAAACTGAATGACGCAGCACACAGCTTTATCAACAGAAAATGTGCAAACTCCACACAGAAGGATCCCTGGGCCCAAACTGAAACCATGAGATTTGAGGCAGGAGGGCTAATCGCCATGCCATCATTCCCCCTGGGATAGAATTTAAGATGAAAAAATGATATACACTGTTTTTATTTTGACAAAAATTCAGTGAGATTATGAGTGGCAATACCAGCATTTAAAACTCATAACAAACTAAAATAAAATATTTTAGTTTTATTAGAATTAGAAGACCTGTGCTGTATTTTGCCACTACCACATTCCTATGCTCGTGTTTAAATTATGTTTTTACAGCACTTAACCCATGGATTCCCACTGCTTTTGTCAACAGAATAACACACACCTCCATATGAACATTGATTTCACTGTGGTAGTGCACTTTGCATGATTTCCAGCGTAACCTTTTCTAACTCAGCATAAAGCACCCAGCCAATCCCTGACCACTGTTTTTGCGTCTTGTTTCGAAAGCATTTTTTTTTCTAGAATGTCTCCTTCGATGCAGGGGCCTCCTGAGACAAAAAGAAAAACAGGACTCACCATGTGTCTTCTCTGTGAAGACTACCTTGGAATCCGAGGTAAAATTCTGCCCCGTCAGGATCATCTGTTGGCCCCCAAGGACGGAGCAGCTCTCTGTATCCTGCTTCTCCACCATAGGGAGCTCGTGGGCGGATCTCTGAGCTGTGAACGCAGACCGGAGAGGGGTAAGAGACCAAGCAAAGTCCATAGCAAGAGCTCCCTGAGACTCTTCTCCAGAGAAAGCCTCGGACCAAGTGGCTGTTACTATGTTCATGCCTTAAGACGGCTCACGCCCCAGTCTTGCAACTTTAGGATCCTAAAAAGTCTATCATATTTAATTCAATGTCACAGAACGTATAGTAAGAAGTTAATTATTTTTTAAGAACTCCGTATTTTATGCTCTGTCATCCAATCAGGAGTCTTTGACCTGGCAATAAAAAATGGTACTTTATATATTAAGAATGCCCATAGTGAAACTCAAAACCTCTTTTAATATTCTGGACTTTTCTGAAGCAGAATTTATTAGGACTCCTTTGGACTGAGACACAAGGGTTATCTGCAAAATACATACACTGTAATTATTTGTGAATAGACTGAGTGCCAAAACTTCTACTAATATCTGTACTTAATCTGTTTTTGGTTGCAGGTGACGTTGTCGTCTTGTCTTGTTAGATCACAATCATTTCCAATTACCTGCCAAGAATATGTACAAATAAACAAAACCGAGGGTGTAAATTAACACCAACAGAATCTATGTTTAACAGGGATGTTACGATTTTCTTTCTGCGTTGACTAAGATCTTTCACCGAATGTTGACTCTCCCAACCAAGGGTAACAACCATAAATCCTTCAAGGCAGTTTATGAGGTGGATACAACATGGAGTTAACCTCGGAGTGCTCTGCCCAGAGCTGCACTGTCCATTATCCTGTGAGGATACTGTGCTCCTCAGTCCTGCAACAATCCATGACTGTGTTTCCACCCCTGGAAAGTATAGAGCAGTAGAACCTAATGGTCGATGACAGGTTAATGGATTTAAACCATGTTTATTGCCTTCTGCTCTAGGGGACGAGAAACTATGAAGGCTCTTCAACACAACACAGCCTTAGTAACAAAATTGTTTGCAAAGATACAAGACGAGGCTTTGAAAACCAAAAACTTTGCCAAACTGCCTTTGCACTTTAGCAGTTGTTCATCATGGTATCTTTCTACTTTTTTCCTTCCTCTAAACTTTGATGGAGTTAATCAACTCACATAGCTTTACTCAGAAATACAAGTGATTTCATTACTTCTAAAGTTTTCAATTTCTGTTAACTGATTTTGCTATAGAACTGAATTTTGCAACATAAAGCTGATAGGTCTGAAAATAAACTGAGCAGCCAATGGAGAATTCTGGTTGAACTGTACACTATCTTTACACTACGCTGTAAAGAATTTAACTCACCATAATTTCCTTTCACAGGACATTATTCATTAAACTTTGACACTGTATTCAGTTTACCACCAGATGTTTAGAAATAAAAAAAGCAAACTCCCAATGGGACAAAATAAAAGTTAAAAAAAGCTATGAAATTAGTAGAGTATGTATCAGGCTATTTTCTGAAAAGGAATAAATAGGTTTTAACTTAACAGGAGTGTTTTTTCCAATACAGACCAAAGCATTCAGCTTAAGCACGGCATGTTTATATACACACATATACACATTTGCAGTTGTGCTTGTGACATCAGTGGTGTTATGGAATTTGATTAGCAGACAAATGCTGCTGATGTCTCGGCTTTAACTAGCACCTTCTTTACCTTGTGACTCATTTAAGAGGTGCATCATCGTCACAGACAACCTTTTCTAAGAACTTGAGCACTTTCCATATAGGACAGCGCTTTTGGTTTTCAACAGCCTTTCCATTAAACAACCTGATTCTTAAACTACACATGGCAGTTTCTGCACTTGGTCATGGATGCCAAAAGCGCAGAAGAGATTGACGTAATTCTTTGCCAGTTTTTGAATATCAGTAACCGTCAAACATCACTGAAATGTTTGTGGTCACTTCAGCCTAAGACTCGAGTTAAGAATATGAAAGGCTGGATTTAACTTAAAGGATTCAAAACACTCAGAAGAATATGTCATTTTTCTAACAAATCCATTCAATGCAGGACCTAAGACCTTGTGAGCTTTTCTGCTCACAGACTTTTTCTTTCCTTATTAATTGAATACATCGATTTTAAAAGTGTCACAGGTATACAGTATCTTTTGTGAGTTCTGCCATCAGTCCCAAATCTGCCATCTTTCATCCATGTCACTCAGAAGTCACACTGCTATGTCAGGTCCTGTCCTTGCATTTCCAGAATGGGATTAGGAACAGACAAAGCAGTGGGTTACCACCATGAATTTCGAAATGGTGTGTGTGTGTGACGAAATGTTCATTTACCGAACGAAGAAAGAGGAACTAAGGCTGACCTTGAAAGAATTTTCCAGGATTATGCTGGCAGAATAAGACATATTAAGGTTAGGCTCAGTGACATAATAATGCCACTAATGTAATAAAACAGCTCTACACTGTAGACAATCCGTCAGACATTTTAAAGCTTTTCTTAGGTGTTAAGTGACGCATTATAAAAACTACCACTTGAACAAACAACCGACAAGTGTCTTCCTAACAGAGCTCACAGGACAGTGCATTCAGGACTTATTTAATGAAGCTTCATGCTGATGACTTTATTTAACTTGGGGTTCATTTGTGTTCAATTCTTGGGGTGCTATCTGAATGAAGTTTGTATGCCTCCTCCAGCTTCTCTGGTTTCCTCCCGCGGTCCAAAGACATGCTGGTAGGTTAATTGGCTTCAGGAAAAGGTGGCCCAAGTGTGAGTGTGGGCGTGTCTATGCATGCCGTATGATGGACACTTAGGGATTGGTCTTGTTTCAAAAACGACACTGAAGATCTCATTAATGACAGCAAATTATTTATGACAAAAAGCCATGCAAGGCCTGAAAATAATCCTTCCATCATATTTTCTCACTGCATTTTCAAAGTCAGGGTCGTGGAGGGGCTAGAGGCTATGGGCGCAAGGCAGGATACACCGTGGACAGGACAACAATCCATTGCACGGCACAGACAGACACAAACAAGCACACATTCACACTAGGTACAATTTTCCCAGAACACAGTTCACCTACCAGCCTGTCTTTGGACTGTAGAAGGAAACCCATGCAAACATGGGGAGAACATACAAACTCCATTGAACCCAGGTCCCCAACACTGTAAGGCAGCAGTGCTAACCTCTGTGCCATAATGCCATGCCATCAAATACGTTTATCCATATAACAAATGTGGCGTTAATTCAAGATTCACTTGTTTCATATTCTTAATTCTCAGGGTTGTTCAGTTGACAGAATTAAAGAATCACAAACCCACTATCACACAGCTGAATGCAGTCTGAAGAAACCTTTGTCTGAGTCGGTCAAATCTTGACTATACTGTGAGCAAGCCAATACTACAGACTGTACAATATCTATTTATAAACTGTGTTTTCCCATAGATACTGTATATCAAAGTAAGTAACAAAAATATATTTACTCCTGCCTTTATTTATCATGCTATCCTTACTGTTTTTATAATGAGAAAGACAGAATTAGGAAACACACAAAGATCCTGTTACTCAGATGTTATTTTAAGCCCATTTATTTTTAGAGTACTGACTAATATGGAGACCGGTGTGTGCAGCTCAAATAATGCTACATAATCACATTGTTTTGTTGCTTTGTCAGCAACAACGTGCGGGACAGTGTGCGGCTGAAAAAAAAAGACAAAAATTGATAAAACTGCTTTGCAATGGAAATTATATACCCTGGAAAAGCCTTGAAATCAATCCAATTCAGCTTACAATACAAGAGGACAATTTAAGGCTGTACATCAAAGCCCTACAATGTAAGAGAGACAAGGTAGGCTTTAGAAAGACTTACAGCACTCAATGGGGTTGGAGGCCACTTGGAGAGACACCACAGCGCCCCCCGGCTGGGGTATATGGATGCGGAAGACCAGACGCACTCTTGTGTTCTTCCTGCCGATGTCCGTTTCCCCTTTTCTCAGCTCAATGTCCGCATTTCGCAGTTTGAGGATGCCGGCACAGTCAATTCTGCAGAGAAACATGGCATGAAGAAGGAGGAAGCTGTCAAGGGCCTGGAAAGGAGTTGGCCAAGGTAATACTTTGAACTCAGACTTGGCGGATCCTAGATGTAGTGCTGTCCACCTCAACTGCAAAGCTACTGTATATGACGTCATCAAGCTGATTTTTTTATATACTACTTATCCCAAACACCACAACATATCTACCCAGTGAAACCCTGAAACATCTGCTAAATTAATGCAAGTAGGGCTTTTTCTTCATAACCCTGAAAGAAGGCTTTCAGGAGGCTTAGTTTGGCTTATTTGCGAACACCGATTCTTTTCCTTGCAACACACAATCCACCCTTTCACTTCATTCAGTTTGCCGGGCCAAATTAGTCAGACATTTGTATGCAAAGCAATTACCTCTTTTAATTTAATTCTTGACTCCAGCACCTTTCCCCATTTTAGTGGACAAGAAATGTTCTATGCCGACACACAAAACATCACATAAGCCTTAAACTACCCCCTTTGATCAGATTAAAGCCCCTCCACAGATGCTGCACAAGTGGTGGTGGGCATGAGGTTTTAAAATACTGTAAAGTATTCACACGAAGCAAATTTCAGGCTCCTTCTCCTCTGAGCTGCAATGTGAGCCCAGGTTGGCTTACTATCTGAGCCCGTGCAACCGAGTGCCCCTGCAGACCGAGGATCAGGTCTTTTGGAGCCGCTTTCCTTACACTGCTTTCATGTTGTTCTTGGGCTCCAGCGGGATCTCCAGCACCTTGGTGCTGCCGATCACCTTCTCGTAGCTGGTGGTGGTGACGGTCTTGCCGGTGATGCGGTGGACCTGGTAGAAGGCGTGTGGTTTCAGGATCCGCTCGTCTGCCGTCCCGATGAAAATCTGAAGCCCCAGCGGTTCCTTGCCCCTGTAGCCATGAAGCTGGAGACACACAAGAGGCCTCTGAAGCAACAGGCAAACAGCAGTAGTCTATGGACAGCGCTGGCTTTAAATAAACAGGGCACTGTGCTCTGTGTACAGTGTGATGCACTGCTGGTGGAAAAGATTTAACACTACCATCTTTATTCACAACTTCTGGATTTTCCACAGAACTTCTAAACTTATGTCCAGGGATCACATCCATTATTTTATTTAATAATAAGGAGAATTTCATCCATCTCGATTGATTCAGGTTGCAGGGGAGCCAGAGCCTGTCCCAGCAAGCAATGGACATTAGGCAGAGTACACCCAGTCCATCACAGGGCACACAAAGACACAGTCACATAAACGCTCACAACAGGGCAAATTTTCCCAGAAGCCCATTAATCTGGGAAGAAATTGGAGCACCTGGAGGAAACCCAGATGAACACAAGGAGAATATACAAACTCCACGCTGACAGCACCCCAGGTGTGGAATTGAACTCTAAGCCCCATTGCCGCAAGGCAGTAATGCTAACCACTGTGCCACTACACCACCAGAATGTAATTGGAAACAATACATTTTCTAATAAGGTAGGCAACGACTCTGCACAATTTCATTTGATACAGATGAATAATATACTGTGTATATATATGCAATATGTGTGAAAGTGCATGTGCAAATAAGCCAGAAAATGTGTAAACTCTATACCGGAAACAGGCAGCAGGTTCACTCAAGGGCTGTTATCTTGTCTGAACCTGTTGCCCTCTTAAAATACATCTTGTTCGCATCTATAGCTTGTGCATTTTTTAACTTCTGTCTTTTATGTATGAGAACAAACATTCTGCTTTTCTACTGCCTGATTCGTATTGGCGTCTGGTCTGGAGTTGAGCTCAGCATTTAGATTTCTGAATAAAAGTGCTGTAATTGTGGTACCCAACTGATTGTTTACAGGAACAGATAGCCTTGTAAGCACTAATCCACCATCACCAAATGCGAAGAAGTATTTTCGGAATATATTTAACACACTTTTTGTTAACTTTGCAAGAAATCTCAATTGCATTTCAACACGTATGATTTCATTACTGATTTCCTTTTACTCCAAAAAAATCTATAATTTTTGCTAAATGTGTTATCAATGGTCAATAAGAACACATCAGCTCAAGAGACAATTCCTGTGGTAAATGGCTAATGTACGATTTGTGAAAGAACTGAAAGTGCAACAGATTTCACGTGTGTTAGGGCTCACAAATGAGGCTCCTGGTAAAAACATCTTACAAACTCAAGAACCCTTTAAGTAAAGTTACACGTGAATCCTTGAAAGTAATGTTTATGTGGGTGTTTTACATTATACTTGTCAATCTTTGGCCTAGATCTGAGTTTGGTGTCTAGACAGTCTTTCCAGTCCTGGTCCTATAGACACTACCTAAGACATTAGCATCTTTTGTAACTCAGAAAGCAAAGATTCTGCTTCTGAAACTGAAATCTAAAATAATCACACAGAAACATTCACACGTCAGGATAAGGATGAACAATTCTGCTCTTCATTCACATTTAATTGGCAGATGCCAGACTTTTCACTGCTGGCTGAGATTATTTCAATACAGTTTTGGTGTAAACTAGAGGATTTTTTTGCTATTCTATTATTCACTGCATACAATTGCGAGCTCTCACCTTTCAGAAAGAAAGAACATACTGTGAATACAAAAGCAATTTTATTAAAATATCCATAAAATACTTGCGCAGACACGGGACTATAAGGATGGTTACAAACAAGAGTAAGCCATTTGACCACCTAGGCTATTTGGTAGTTAGTGGCTAATTGATCCAAATATCTCATCCAATTGTTTCCTGAAAGAAGCCAGGGAACTGGCTTCAACAACATGGCTTTGTCACCTGTTACACAGTTCAACGGCCCTATGAGTAGAGAGCTGTCTCCTGTCCTCCGTTTTAAATGCACTTCCAATTCCAGCAAGTGCACCGTCATTCAGTCCTAAAACCTAATGTGTGTCACTTGTAACTATTGGCCAACTCCATTTGGATCGAAAGATGGGATTACTTTTTATTTTACGCTATCAAAAAGACAAAAGCCTGTGTTGTTTTCCACAAAAATAAATAAATAAAAGGTAACCCAGTAATTTAATCCCCAGAGTTTAGTGAAAAGTACATCTTAAACTTCAGCTTCATACATTTTCTGACTCAATTTCTTGGCACTCTTGTATTACGCCGCTTGGAGTCGGATTCAAAACTTCAAGGTCTCCAGAAAACAACGCAGCATGTTGTCTCATATTCTCGTGTCTTTTTACACCTCTCATTAGCTCTAAAGGCGCAAACATTTCCATAAACAAATCATTCTTTTACAGTGGTGGATCTTCCGAAACGAAACAATTGGCGCCTCACAGCTCCAACCCGATGAGTAGGAGTGGAGGGTGAGAGAGAAATGCAAAGGAGATGGAAAAGTGCCAGGTTTATTTTTAAAAGCCTGAAAGAAAGATTAACGCTCCATGTATAGGTGGTGCACTCAGAGCAGCTGGCAGAGTGAAACACATGTGAAGCCCCAGCTGCATATAAACCATGAGCAGGCATATAGACGTGTGAGGAAAACATTGACCAGGGAACCTACAGTTAATGAAGGTGAAGACAGCGATCAAGACCCTTGATAAATGTGCTGAGATATTGGTGAAAATAAATGCCTTATTAAATAGGTATAATAAATTCCTACCTTAATAGAAGTCCACCTCTTTAAATGGACACAGAGCTTTATAGTTTTGCCATGACTTTATGCTTATACCATGGGTTTACCTTGTAGTATTGCTGTTAGCTTTAGAATACTCTAAAAACAATGTTAAAATTGAGGTGAGGCCATTTAATCTATCTAGTTCATTATTATTAAATGATATACAGTAAGGATCTCATCTAGCCGTTTTGTAAACGAAGCAATAGTAAAAGCAAAGTAAAAGCAAAAGCAAAAGTTTGCGGACGATACAACAGTCATCAGCCTGATCCCAGATGGTGAAGTGTCTGCGTACAGGGAGGAGGTTGAAACCCTGGCAGCATGGTGCCAGGAGAACAACCTCTCTCTGAACGTCAGTAAGACTAAGGAGATGATTGTGGACTACAGGAAACACCAGGGAGAAGATCAAACACCTATCTACTGTATATCAATGGAACTGCAGTGGAGAGGGTCAGCAGTTTTAAGTTCCTGGGAGTTAACATCTCAGAGGACTTAACCTGGACCCACCACACCAACACCGTGGTCAAACCAGAACGGCAGCACCTATTCTTTCTCCATAGGATAAAGACGCTTGGCATGTCATCACATATCCAGGCCAGCTTCTACAGGTGCACTATTGAGAGCATCCTGACTGGTGGCATCACTGCCTGGCATAGGAACTGCTCCACCCGGGATCGCAAAGTACCGCAGAGGGTGGTGCAGTCAGTGCAGCTCATTACTGGCTGTGAGCTACCAAACATCCAGGATATCTACTCAGCTAGATGTCTTTAGAAGGCCAGGTCTATTCTCAAGGACCCCAGTCAACCCAGTCACAACCTGTTTTCTCTCCTGCCATCTGGTAAAAGGTACCGAAGCATTCGGTCAAAGTCCAACAGATTACAGAACAGCTTCTACCTCCAGGCAATAAGACTGCTAAACAGCCAACCTGCAGCTCCTTTAGCAAATCACCCGTTATGGCTACATAGACACACAGGTTTCATTGTATTGAGCATACTGCACTACTTGGACATAACATATTGCATACACCGGGGACACGTAGCAGCTCTATTCATATTGAGTTTTATTCAATTTCTATTACATCTATTATCTATTATTATGTAACCTTATTTTCATAACCTTAGTTTTGAGATTTCTGTGATTTTTGTGAGCTCGCAGAAAAGACATTTCATTGCCAGCAACTACTGCTGCACGCTGTATTGTTGTGCATTTGATAAATAAACTTTTACTTGATTTGATTAGTATTGCTACTTTAACACAACAGCTAGACAAATCACAGCTATCCATGCTCTCACTGTCTATCATTATTCCAAAACTAGACTACATTTGTCATCAGTTCATGTCCAAAACCATGACAGACCAAACTGATCAACAATCAGCGTTGAGTTTTCATCTCTTGTGCTCTGACTTGCATTTAGAGCAGAATTCAAATCAAGGTCAAGCCCACTGCTTTCAGAATTAAAGGATACGGAAGGATGTTTCATATTTAAATAAATGTACAGTATAACCTCTTGGAATGTTTTTTATTTGTTGACCTTTTAATAATCGTGCCATTATATTCACTGTACATCTTTTTGGTTGTATATTCTGCAGAAATCCAGGCAATAAAATTGCAGGAGCATGTGACAAAAGGTTTTTAAATTTTTTATTTTTATTTTAAAAGAAAATTATTGATTTGGGAGCAGTTCTAGGTTCCTACTGGTGAAAGCCATTTTTATGAAGAGTATCTGGCAGAGCTACATACAGTTCAGTCTGAAAAAGAGCAAGATGTTATTTAATTGTAAAATATAAGGCATGCCCGCCCTCTAACAAACAAGCTATTTTTCTTTCATTTTCACAGCACAGTCTGCTTGCAAAATTGCTTGACATCTCTGGCCATAAATGCCTGAAGGAAGCATGCAGAACCCACAAGGTATTAAACAGCAGCGGTGTGTGTGTCAGTCTGTGTAGTTGTGTGTGCATGTGGCAAGTCACTCAAAATGCTATATGCAGCATTGACTGCTAAAGAAATACTTATGAAATGTAATATAAAAAGCTAACAGCTGGGTTAAGGACCAAGAAAATCCTTGCGAATGTATAAAACAGCACGCCATTTGGGAAGAACCTAATTTTCCACAACTATTGTTAACTGTATTAGATCTTCACCTGCAACTGCAATAACTATTTGTTCAATTACTCTAACAGGAGGAGGAGATGAAACAAAGGCTTGGGTGAGAGGGGAGCAGTTTGGATCAGTTACTGTATGAGTTCACTACAATTATAAATACAGGTGATATTCCTAAAGTGATGGCA